CCTTGTCATGCCCTGGTACGGCAGGGGGTATGGGTTGCACCCCGACTATGACCGTCAAATGATTCGCGAAGCCGAGGCCTTGAGGAAACGTGGACTCTGCGTCCTCGATGCCACGTCGCTTATCAAGTGTACTACACGATACGACGGCCAGCACATGGAGAATTCGGAACACAACCGCCTCCAGTGCATTCGGTTCTATTCTGAAGCAGGCGCTCTTGGCTATCATCTTTTTCGGCTTCGGTCGTGCAAGCCATTGATTGAGATGGCTGAGATGAAGAAGCGCCGCGAGGAATCGCTGGCCAACCCCCTTCCTGAAAACAACCCCGAATGGGAAGAGATGGAAGAAGTGTTGGTCTCCATGGACGTGGACGGTTGGGAAATCTATGTGAAGGAGACTCGAGGGCAACGACTTCCCAACGAAGTTGATCCCGCACGTGCACAAGTCCCACAGGCTCCTACGGTGCAGGATGATGCCACTGTGGCCTCATCGAACTGGCAGCTTTTGGAGTCCGTGGATGCTGCACTGCCGGGGGAACCCGAGCACTTTGAACCACATGAGGTCAAAGAGCCGGAGATGGATGGTGAGCTCATCGACGCCATCCTCAAGCCCTTCCTGGATCGATTGCCAGGTGTTTCCGACGAGCGCGACATTGACGAGCCGGACGCTGACGAGGAGATTGTCTTCAGGGACCCCATTGTCGGCGGCTCGGCATCGATGTTTAGCCAGCGGAAGCTGCGCTCCCATCTGATGAACAAGATCCATGCTGTGGACTTCAAATTGGATGGTTCTGGCGTAGTGAACATCTTGGACACCGACGTCACACGTGATCCTGCCAAGCTCGAACTTCGGCAGGAATCCATGCAGCAGACTGAAGGTGGTGCGGTCATCATTCGTCGCTTTGATTTGACGGATGAGGAGAAGCATCGTCAGATGGAACGGGAGATCTTTGAGGAGCCCAAGACCGCCGAGGAGAAACTTCGCGCGGGTGACCCTGCTGCCACTGTCCAGATCATGTCGAAGGCCAAGTCGAAGGCGGCTTCCTCATCCGAAGCGGCATCATCTTCGACCGGCATCGCACAGGTGATCGGGGACACTGTCAGCCAATTCATCAAACCCAAGATGAGGGATCAGGCCACCATGATTCAGCCCAAGCCTGTCCCGAAGATCCCAAAGGTCTCAACGGCGACGGGAACGTCTCCCATGGCGTCCCCAAAGCCCAGTCCGCCACCGACTCCGAAGAGTGCAACTGGATCCCCCAAGCCGGAGCCACCTGCACTCCCAGCGGAAGCTGCGGACCATCCTATGCCCAAAGCTTTGCCTTTCAAGGCACCGCCTGCATCGTTGACAACAACCTCACCGAGGGCACCTCCGCAGAAGTCATCGGCGCCTGCAGCTGCGTCTTCGTCGGAGCCTGCCCCGAAGATGGCCAAGAAGGAGCCGCCTATGGCAAGTGCTCCTCCCCCGGGAACGGGTGGACCTCAGCCTCCGGCTGAACCGCCCTTGCGACCATCTGGGTATCCCAAATGGAACTTTTTCTCCCCGGGAATGGGCGAGCGCAGGGAGTTCACCATCAGGTGCACTGAACTGCCTGGCCTTCGGGATCTTGGACATCTTAGTCACGACGACTTCAAGTTCTACAAGCGGGTCACTGGGTTGTTGTGCGGCTACGACCACAAGTTCTTGGAACCCCATCACCGTCACATTCCCCCGAATTTGACGAGGAGCTCTACCTCAACTTCGAGAGCATGTACAGCTACTTGAGGAAGAGGCATCGGGCCCAGCTTTCACGGCAGGATCTCTACCTGATCCTCCGGACACAGGACAGGTTCATGTGTCGCATTGAAGCTGGAATTGTCGGGGAACTGACAACTATGGACATGCCGTATCGCATCACGCATGTGAAGGCCTGCCAAGGTCATGACCAGTCCCTCATCGACAAGGTGGGAACGGCTCCATTGGTCAAGCAGATCATCTCGCTTGACTACCAGTTCACGGTCGAGGATTTGAAGAAGGGATTCTACCCAAGGGTCCCCATTTATCCTCACCTGGCGGAAGCCGAGGTCCCAGAAGAGTTCAGGGTGATATACCATTATACACTTCATGGGACTCCCTCCAGCAGATCATTTGCACGGGGATTTTTCCAGGGGCCACATCATGCAAGGGTCATGTGTATATGACCCGCCATGCGCCTTGGGAAATCGAAGGCAAGGATCCTGGTGTCAGGACGAACCGACCGCTGTGCATCGCGATCGACACCGATTGTGCTCTGCACTATGGTCTTCGCCTGGTGGAAACCTTGGCCGGTGCAATCATCTCCGAGGACTGGGTGCCCAATCATTGCCTCATCTACGCATTTGATTGCGAGAAGTCGCAATATCTTTGGGCGAACCATGGCTACAACGGGGTGAAGAAGTACCTTCGGCAGAAGGCCTCCGAGAACGCTCTCACTTGGGAAGAGAACGAGGCTCGGAAGGGCACTCCCGCATACGATGAACTGGAAAGGTACGAGTGTTCGGACTTGGAAGTTTTGAAGAACATGTTTGTGAATGAGTATGACCAGTGGAAGGACGTCATCACCTTGCGACGTCCGCTCATTTACAAGGAAGTTCCGACACCGTTTCCTGTCGTCGATGAATTGCTGCCAAAGACCAAGCAGCGGCCGCTCAATTTCACCAATCTCCTCTGCGTGGCGCGCAAGCTGACGGTGACTGCAGCTGGCTTCGACATCGCCCCTGACAACGCGCGGGAACGCCGTTCTGATCGTTTCGATCAGGAGGCATTTGACCCATCCGCGGAGGGGAACCTCACGCGCTGGCGGTATGTTTCTATGCTGGCAATGCCAGAATTGACATGCCCCCGGTGCAGGAAGATCTTTCCTGAGGGGATGTTGGTGTGCATCGCATGCGGCTTGTCGCTGGCGACAATGTCCGACATGCATCGCGCATGCCAGGTGTTCCGCCTGGAAGGATTGGCCGAGAAGCTCGGATTCGAGCTTACTCTGGACCTTCTGGGCGACGACGATGTAGCAGGCACCACACAAGGTGCCAAGCAGATCAGATCTGCTGCTGCTGTCCTCAAAAATCACGCCCGTTCATATATGAAACAGGCGCGAAAGGCGGGGATGACTTTGCTACAGCGTCTGGGAACGGACGCCCACTACGCCTTCAATTGCGCAGTCCAAGACCTTACACCTCGGTGTATGCATTGGATTACCGTCCTGGGCAATGAGGTGCTTCCCGGCATCAAACGCACCCGCGAGGAAATCCGAACTGGAAAGATTCGGCAGTACAAAGCGCGTATGTGCTTAGTCGCATACGAAGAGGAGCAGATGAAGACGATTGTCGTGGACGATCATGTACTCATCTGGTACAAGAACCGCTTTTACAGAGCCAACCAGTTCGCGGCTGCCTATGCTCTGATCCCTGTGGCCGATCGATTCGAGGTTCTGAGCGCCGCCAACACGACGTTTCAGTCCCTCGCCCTGTCCAAGCAGGATGTGTATGCCGACATTCTCAGCTATGTCGACGACATCTTGCGCCCCCTCACGGAGGCAAAGGACACGGAAGGCGGAAGCCGACCCCTGCCTGCAACAAAGCAGCAGAACCCAGATGTCACCAGGTCTTCGCGTCCTGGGTATGGATCACATCAGGGACCCACTCATGGCTACAGTCAGCAGGAATGGAATGACTACTACAATCAGTGGACTGACCAGGAGTGGGAGGATTGGCGCCGTCGAAATCAAGGCCACCAATACAGGGATCGACGATGGTCTGGCTATCGCTGAGGCACCGCGGAGGGGAACCTTTCGCCTGGTGGATTCATCTTCATCTGAGGCGGGGTAGTTTCTTTCAATGAGAGGTGTCGCACAGCGGAAGCTGTTGCCTTTTCGGATTTAATTCGGTTAGGCGACTAGCTTCATTTTGCACAGGTGGGTGAGCGATTCCACCATCATTTCCAACACAAGTGTGCTAAGTCGGAATTTTTGCCAACTCATTCAAGTTCACAAAAGTTTCATTAACGCTTTGAATGCATATAATTTGAAGCAGGCATTTGGCACTCATCTTATTCTTGCCATGATTCCTTCTTGCTGAGCACACGGCTGGTAGTTGCATGTACCGCAGAGCGGAAGCTCTTGCCTTGCGAAGTTAAGGCATCTTTGAAGCATTTCTGAAAGCTTCCCTGCGGGTTCACATCAAAACCGAATTCAGCATTTTGCTTTAATTCGTATTGTTTGCTTCGGCATGCTCCCGGGCGTCCACAAGAACTTTTGATGCCGCGTGGAAACGCTGGCCTTTGTAATGGGCCACACTTCAACACGTTTGCATGTTCGACCACAAGCCTGGTAGAGCCAAAATTAAAGCTGAATGCATTCGGCCGAATCGACATTCGCAGCAGCCGTTGATCGTTGTACTTGGTGTCAGATTGAACGGTTTGCCTTGTCATGCTTTTGCACTTGTTCGTCATTTACGCCACACTGAGGTGAAGATGCAAAAGACTTTGGAAGGTTAGGCGACGGTCGGGTTTGGGGTTTTGTTGTTTTGTTTTCTAATTTGTTAACTTAATGGCATCCCTAACTAGACTGTACATAGCTTAATTTGCAGCTTCACTACCCGGGCGGTAACTACACTGCACGGGGGGTGTTGTTGCACAGTCTTAGTGTACACTTTAGCTTTTCACCTCTCCTTACTTTGTGGCAATGGCTCAAGAAACAGTGTGTAGCTGACTAACTTGTTTTGTGGTGTTTACCGGCTTTCATACCTTTTCTACATATATTATATACATTTATATTATATACATATATAAATATGATATGATATGATATGATATAATATTAAGGGCAGTTGGCGAAGACAAACAAACGTTTATTTCACTGTAACTATCTTTGTTTAATTCTGTGATCGTAAACAAAGCTTGCATTCAGTCGACGATGTCAGTTGAAACTTGGACAGTTTGGAACAGACAGTTTGAAACCTTTGTTTGTTTGAGTTACTTGCTTGAGGTGGGAGGGTTCAGACAGTTGCCCCGCCTTGAAAGATTGGCCAGGGGATTAGGTGAGGAATCCAGCCATGTCGAGGGCTTTGCTGTTGCAGATTCTCGTGGTGAAGGGTCCTCTGGAGCCGGTGGAAGTGTTCCCGATGGAATCCCCAGCCTGGAGCCCGATGGAGCTCCTGTGGTGCCTGGAAGTGGTCTCAACTTGTTTGGGGACTACGTTGGTGACTGGCTACAGGAACCTCATGACACAGTCGAAGATAGCCATTCCCCCTATGTCCCTGTGACCCTTGAAATGCCAGAAGCAGAGATAGTGGACGACGCTGAGGAGGACGTGCGTGTGTTTGAGGGCCGTGAAGCCCAAGCCTTTCAGCGAGCTGTTTTCGAGCAAGGCATGTCCCGGAGGCGGGCTGCCCAAGCTGCCACGGGAAACTGGCATATACGCCGGGACCTTTGGGGACGTCAACGGATTTCTGGATGCCGGTGCCTGCCGAACCTTTGGTGGCGTCTAGTTCTCAGGGAAGTGGCATGGATGAGAGGGTGGATGAAGCTGGTCTACCCTCCAAACTGCCAACCTTTGCCAAGCATGTCCGGGCCTTGTGCGATCAGGACCACTCCGAGATGCAGGACCTCACATGGATGAAGGCCCCTGGCTTGTTGGTTGGCCATACTCGAAGGGTGCAGCTTCTCTGGGCAAGTGGGCGGCTATGTGCTGAGCAAGTTGACGGAGAAGGATCGTAGCGGTGCTCTGATTTGCACCAGGGACGCTTGTGGAATCAGATCACCCAACACGGTGATGAAGCGTGGGCGTGATCTTCAAGCCTACATCAAATGGACCGCAGAGCGCAGTGTGCATTGGTGGCCGCTGCAAGAAGCCACAATCCGGCAGTGGAGGAAGCAAGTTCGTGGGCAAGAACCTGGTCCATGCAGTCAAATTCTTTCGATACATCTTCGGAGCTTCGTTTGAGGTTGAGGAAGTCCTTGTGCCTATGCTGACTGGGCGCTTGAGCAGAGTCCTCGCTACAAGGAAGCCCACGGAGCAGGCTCGAGCATTGGCTGTCGACGAGGTCAAACTCTTGGAGTCGCGGCGGCCCTGCGAGAAGAACATCCTGGACTCCAGGTCCTGGACAAGAACTTCCTGGGGTGCTTGCTCCTGGCTCTGTACTCGAGGGCGCGTTGGGGTGACCTGAGTTGCATGCAAGCTGTGCAGTTCGACATCATAGATGCCCCTTCGGGTCCTTTCGGGTTCATCGAAGCCGAAGCCAAGACGAGGATCCACAAGACGTCCAACACGGAAGAGAGGAAAGCCATGTACATGCCCTATGTGGCGCCCGTCGTTGGCCTTGGAGAGGCGCCCTGGGGAATCGCTTGGCAGGATGTCTTGTGGGAGCTTGGCTTGCTAGACCAAGGGGAACCCTTTGGTCCCATCTGTCGAACACCTTCAGCTGATGGTAACTTCACCAAAAGCGCGTTGACCAGTGAAGAGGCTGGCAACATTCTGAACAATTACCTGAGGATCCCCGAGAAGAGTGACCGACGGACCACGTCCCACTCCTTGAAAGCCACAACTCTCGTGTGGGCCGCGAGGTATGGGATCGACGATAGGCTCAGGTCCATGCTAGGGCACCATGCTTTGAAAGAGAAGAGAATTCCATGGCGTGCTATTCCCGGGACTTCCTCTCCAAGCCGCTGCGAGAGCTTTGCGGTTTGCTTCTGAACATCAAGGAGGGCAAGTTCACCCCGGACGGCACAAGGTCTGGATGGCTGAGCGGACCCCAACTTGACCTGCGCTTCGACCAGCCGAGTGGTGCTGCCGACCGTGCTGGAGGTGGGCAGTCCATCCCTTGTAGCTTCGGATGAGGTCACTGGTCAAGACTTTGACCCAAATTTCAAGGAGAAAGAGCTTGAGATGGAGGACGGTGGAGGAGCCAACCAAAATGAATGGCACGGCTTTGCCGACCCGAGCTCTGTGGATGGGGAAGCATTCGTTATGAGTGCTTCGTCGGATGAGCCAGCAGGGCGCTGTCGACTTGGGACTGCCCAAGGCCGGGGAGGGCAACCTCATGCAGAATAAGAGGAGCAAGATGCTCCACAAAAGGTGCCCTGGCCCCAACAACAGGCTCCAGCCGGTGTCGCTTTGCGGGTTGCACGGCAATGGCTTCACGTCAAGCTGACTTCAACTGCTCCCTCAGCTCAGAGCTGGACACCATGGAGGCCATGACTCGCAGATCATTGGCTTCTGATGCGGCAGGCCTGATCTATGAGTATGAGACCTTCCAGAAGTGGGTTCAAAGCCTGTTCCAACTACTTCGTCAAGCTTGTCCTCCTGGATTCAAAGCGCCTGGGGTGAGCCAGTTGTTGAGGGCAGACCGACGAGCCTTCGTGAGGATGCAGGAGCTGACCCGTGAAGGGATCAAGCCTAGGCCTGACGGCATGAGGCCATTGGACGAGGTGGTCAGAAACCTTCAACTGACCACACGGTCATCTACTACATGCTGCCGACCCCTGGGGTAGCCAAGGCAGCAAGTCCGAAGCCCAAGGCCGCCCCTGCACCCTGTAGCAACTGGCAGAAAGGAAGCGGGAATGAATCCAGCTCCTGGAAGGCGCCCAAGTAGAACCAATGGAAGAAAAAGGTGAAAACGGCCGGAGGAGGGGATGCGATGGGGCATTGCCAAATGGAAGCCGCATCTGCTTTGCTTACAACATCAACGGCTGTTCCAAGGCAGGGGCAGGCGAAAGCTGCGAGAAGGGGCGCCATGTCTGCGCGACCAAAGGGTGTCATGAGAAGCACCCCCACTGCTCCTGCCCAAAGAAGTGACAAGGTCGGGGGGAAAGAGAACCCCTCCAAAAGCCGGCTGCCGACAGCCAACCAATTCAGATGCAAGTTGAGGGCCATGATGAAGCTCATGGCAGCAACCCACTTTCTGCTCCACACCGCCTTCCGGCGAATTGGGGAGGTGCACAACGATCCTGGCGCCATTGCCCATGGCAGTGAGCCAGGGAAACCATTGCCTGTCTTCACAGACGGTTTGAACGCTGAGGAGAAGGCAATTCCTTTTGGCATAGGCATAGAGTTTTGCTCAGGCACCGCAGGGCTCACGGCTCAACTGGGCCGTCTGGGCATGAAGAATTTGGTGTGGACCATGTGGTGATAGGGGGCTCAAAAGTACCCATCGTAAAGATTGACTTCACCACGGCGGAAGGCGAAGCCTTGGCGGCCAGCTACATCAAGAGTCCCATGTGTGGGTATGTTCACTTTGGCATTCCATGTGGGACTAGCAGCAGAGCAAGAGAAATTCACATAAGGTTTGCCCAACCTGTCCAACAAAGACAGAGAGTGGGTGGACAAAGCCAACAGGGTCTATGAGGCGGCTTGTCGCCTCGTACTTCTCTCCATAGCCAACGCTGTCAGATGGCCGTTGGAACAACCTGCACGGTCCATCTTTTGGCTCACGAAGTTTTGGCAGTCAGTTTTGGATATGGTGACACCCATCTTCATCACCTTTCAGTCCTGCATGTTTGAAGGCCAGAGGCCCAAGAAAACAACTTTGGCCGGGGACATTGAGGAGCTCCAAGAATTGCAATGTGAGCGCGACGGGCAACACATTCACCTACCATGGCGACCCCGGAGGGTTTTGCTACAGCAGCTGAGGCAGTGTATCCATTGCAACTTTGCAAGTAATGGGCAGCCACCATTGTCAGATCGAGTCCTGACCAAAGACTGGAACATCGCAACCTCCACTCTACCTGCTCATCCCAACAAGTGTGCCAGAGCCGCTGCTTTTATAGCCTTCATGCCCGAATGCCATGTGGACACAGTGGTACTGCTCCAAATGCCGGATTTTGCCATTGGCACCAAACTTCCCAAAGAATCCCAAAGAGTTCGAGTGCAAAGGGCACACCATTCCACAGTATGCCAGAATCCTCAGGATTACCGACCTTGCCACAAGGCCACTCCAAAAGGGGGAAAAAAAGGTAACCTTGTTTCAGCAAGCAGCCAAAAGGGTGTCACGCCCCACAGGCGACTCCAAGAACCATCCTGAGTGCCTCAATACTGGGCGTTGGGCTAGAGATGCCCATACTTCTGGCAGACTGTCCACTTGCAAAATCTTTGGCAACGATTCTGGCGCGCACACCTTCCTGAGCTTCCTCTTTCTCGTTGGTAACCCACCTTGTGCCAATGATGCGCTGGCGGCAAGAACCTGACCTGCACCAACAGCAGTGAGTCCACGAATCTCCTTCTGCATGGCCAAAAAGGTTCCTTCAGCTGGCAAGTCCCTGAGCGTGACGTCAGACACGGCTCCACTGGGCTTTCAAAGCTTGATCTTCTGACCACAAAAATCCATGACGACAAACTCATCGCAGTACTGAATTGACTCCACTGAAAACCGATCTCGTTGAACAAGTTCCGGTGATGTCAACATACCCACATGATATGGCTGCGCCATGCAAACATCAACCATGGGCATGTCGCCAACGTCCTCGGTAGCCATCTCAAAGTCCGCAGGCTCGACCGGGTCCGGAGCCAAAGATGGAGAATAAGAACCATCTCTCACCCCACCTTCCTGTACCGGAAGATCCTCCAGATCACCAAGCGATGGCTTGGCAGTTTCACCTGACACAAACTCAGCTTGTCGCTTGCGACATTCGGCAGAGTGCCGGGTACCTGGAGCATTCATACCTGATTCACAACTTGGACAACGGCGCGTCGGGGTCATCCCAGCAGGCAAACCTGGGATGCGCGGCAATGTTCGTGAAGGCACGGCCACAGCCGGGTCATTGGGCTCAATTCTTGGTGGTTGCTCCTCAGGCTTGTCGGGCAAAGCTGGCACTTCTCCCTTCTTCTGGTTACGGATCCAATTCCAATAGCGCTCACAGCACTTCTTGGAATGTCGACCTTGTCGAGTGGCACATGAACTGCATCCTTCAGTTCGTCCATGAGCATCAACCCAGTGTCGTGGAGGCTGCACCTGATCTGGAAGTCGTGCAAAATCCTCTGGCAAAATCTCAATGGGTGCCTGATCAACGAGCGATGGATGGTCACCTGAACCTGAGTGACAAACAAAACGTTCAATGAGATCTTGTGGATACTCAATCGGAAAAACAAGCTTCAAACTCTTGGCTTGGAAAAACCTCAGTTCATCAGCAATTTTCGCACAAACAAAATGAGCAAACGAGTTCCTGACAGGATACAAATACGCAGCAGTGACAAACCGTCCAATACTGTCAACACTTTCTGGGGTCTCTGCAAGAACCCTAGAGCAAAACATGGCGGAAATTCGAGTTCCTTCAGATGTGTTCCTGAGCAATTCCTTTCCAGTCTTTCCTGAGTTCTGGATCTTGCCATGGAGGTTATGCATAGCAGTCACATACCTGGAAGCGGCCTCCCAGGCAACCAAGCTGTCGACCAAATCCAATCCGGCCTTCGCCAGTTCCAAGCGCAAAACAGCAAGAGCTTCCTTGACTTCTCTCACACCACGCTCTACTGATCCAACCGTATCATGGTTCTGAGGTCCAGCTTTGTTCACCGTGTACTCCCTTGGCAAACCAGATCTCCGCAGAACAGTCCCAACTTCGTCCTGAGCATCTGTCCTGAAATCAACTGGCGGTCCTTCCAAAGTCTCAAGCAAACCAAACTCAGCCAAAATTTGACGCAAATGCTGGCCTGTCACCTGAACATTCTCGCTCACCGCAGTGACACCAAGCAAACCTGAAAACACCTGACGCAGCAAAATCATCTTGAACTTGCTCTCAACCAAACCCAAAAAGAAGAAATCCACCTGAACTTCAAGGATTCTCTCACGCAAACTTCGCCTTGGTGCTCGAGAAACTCCTCTTCCCTGTTGGCATTCCAAACAGTGTGGATCAAACGGGTAATGGCCTCGAAGAACATGTTGACGCAACTTCTCCTGACTTGACAGCTCAACAGCTCCAACCATGCTAACTTTCAAACCCTCTGGCTCGACCACTGATGACTCAACCAACTCCATCGGCTGACTGCCATCCTTCAAGCTCGGTTGTACGCGATGAAAAACATGTTTCTTCGTTTTCTCTCATCTGTGTAGTCGCCCTTTTCCCCATGTAGAAAATGACAAGTTGTTGTGCACAAGCGCATGCACTTTGCGCAAGGGAGTTGGAGGTGCGTCAGATGTAAGATAATGGCAAAAGGAATCAGTGGAAAGGTGAACCCCCTGGCCCATGTTTGCGAAAAGAGATTGTTCTTGACTCAGGTACTCGTAGGGGGAAAAGTCACCCAACATGTTTTGGTGCACACTGTAGAAAAAAACCTTTCAGTTTTTGATGTGGAACATGAACTGATGCCAAATTACGAAAGCCAGCGGCTACGCTAGGCAAAGTTTTTTTGCGAACAAAGTGAGTTAAGGGGTTCTGGGGGCAGAGCGGGCAAAAGTGTCACGGTCTCAGTTGCAGTGGAGCCCGTGTTTTTTGAGCATATTTGAGGGGCATGTACCAAGTGGCAATTGGGTGACGGTGGGGTATCGATTCCCCCCTAGTCCGAGGTACATTTTGGGAGGCGATAGAGAGACCGGAATAGAAATGAGGCCAGAGGTAAAGGCATTGCTTGGAAAGGTCCCTGGAGCTGCATTTTGGGAGGCGATAGAGAGACCGGAATGGAATGAGGCCAGAGGTAAAGGCATTGCTTGGAGGTGATTTTTGGGAGGTGATAGAGAGACCGGAATAGAATGAGGACAGAGGCAAAAGCATTGCTTGGAAAGGTGGGAACTCATGGCTACTTTTCTTTATGTTTCTCTCTTACTCTTCCAGCCGTATCTGTTGGGCTCCGATGTGGGACCATTATGGTCGCAAGGATTGGAAGGAAGTTCTGCCAGTATAGGATGTGAAGTTAGGAAGCTTTGGAAGGGGTGACTAAAATATACATCTCTCCTATGGTCGCAAGGATTAGAAGGAAGTTCTGCCAGTATAGGATGTGAAATTAGGAAGCTTTGGAAGGGGTGACGAAAATATGCATCTCTCTCTTACTCTTCTACCCCTATCTGTTGGGCCCCGATGTGGGACCTTGTGGTCGCAAGGATTAGAAGGAACTTCTGTCAGTAGAGAATGTGAAATTAGGCAACTAATTTAGAAGGGGTGACGAAACTATGCAGTGGGGTCCGAAGTGGGACCAGTATTCTCTTGGACCGTTCCCTGTAGGGGATTTGAGGAAACTTCTGTTAGTATGGAATGTGAAATTAGGAAGCTTTGGAAAGGGGTGACAACATAGCAGAAGATGAGACTGCTGAGTCGGCTCCGTCACTGCTTTTGCGGTTTTTTCCATAGTAATGGTTGTTCGAGTCAAGCCCACTGCTGGGCGCTGTTCACATGGTTCCCGCCAGCCGCGGCGATAGAGAGACCGGAATAGAATGAGGCCAGAGGTAAAGGCATTGCTTGGAAAGGTCCCTGGAGGTGAATTTTGGGAGGCGATAGAGAGACCGGAATAGAATGAGGACAGAGGCAAAGGCATTGCTTGGAAAGGTGGGAACTCAATGGCTACTTTTCTTTATGTTTCTCTGTTACTCTTCCAGCCGTATCTGTTGGGCTCCGATGTGGGACCATTATGGTCGCATGGATTGGAAGGAAGCTCTGTCCGTATAGGATGTGAAGTTGGGAAGCTTTGGAAGAGGGACTAAATTATGCATATGTCTTCTGGTCGCAAGGATTAGCGGGAAGTTCTGTCAGTATAGGATTTGAAATTAGGAAGCTTTGGAAGGGGGTGGCGAAAATATGCATCTCTCTCTTACTCTTCTACCCCTATCTGTTGGGCCCCGATGTGGGACCATTATGGTCGCGAGGATTAGAAGGAACTTCTGTTAGTAGAGGATGTGAAAACAGGAAGCTTTAGAAGGGGTGACGAAAATATGCAGTGGGGTCTCCGAGACCTGGAAGGCATTGCTCGAAAAGGTGGCACCTCAATGGTTTCTTTTCTTTATGTCTCTCTCTCTCTCTTACTCTGCTACTCCACCTGTTGGGCTCCGATATGGGAGATTATGGTCGCAAGGGTTAGAAGGAACTTCTGTCAGTACTGGATGTGAAACTAGGAAGCTTTGGAAGGGCTGACGAAACTATGCAGTGGGGTCCGAAGTGGGACCACTATTCTCTTGGACCGTTCCCCGTAGGGGATTTGAGGAAACTTCTGTTAGTATGGAATGTGAAATTAGGAAGCTTTGGAAAGGGGTGACAACATAGCAGAAGATGAGACTGCTGAGTCGGCTCCGTCACTGCTTTTGCGGTTTTTTTCATAGTAATGGTTGTTCGAGTCAAGCCCACTGCTGGGCGCTGTTCACATGGTTCCCGCCAGCCGCGGCGATAGAGAGACCGGAATAGAATGAGGCCAGAGGTAAAGGCATTGCTTGGAAAGGTCCCTGGAGGTGAATTTTGGGAGGCGATAGAGAGACCGGAACAGAATGAGGACAGAGGCAAAGGCATTGCTTGGAAAGGTGGGAACTCAATGGCTACTTTTCTTTATGTTTCTCTCTTACTCTTCCAGCCGTATCTGTTGGGCTCCGATGTGGGACCATTAGGGTCCCAAGGATTACACGAAGTTCTGTCCGTATAGGATGTGAAATTAGGAAACTTTGGAAAAGTCTGTGGGTCATAAGTCTGCGGGTGAAAAGTCTGGGTGAGAAGTAGATGTTTGAACCGTCTGTGGGTGAAAAGTGTGTGGGTGAAAAGTCCGTGGGTCAAAAGTATCTGGGTGAAACAGGTATGGGTGAAAAGTCTGAAGGGCGAAAAGTGTATGGGTGAAAGTTTGCGGGTGAAAAATATATAGTTTATGGGCGAAAAATATATGGGTAGTCTCTGGGCAAAAAGTGTATGGGTGAAAACTATATGGGCGAAGAAAAGTATATGGGGAAAAGTCTGAGGGTAAAAACTCACTTCGTGAAGAGTCTCTGGGTGAAAAACCTGGGGGTGAAAAGTATATGGCATATGGGGGAAAAATATGAGGGAAACAAATATATGGGTGAAGACTCTTTGGGTGAAAAGTCTGTGGGCGAAAAGTGTGTAGGTGAAAAGCCCGTGGGTCAAAAGTATACAGGTGAAACGGGTATGGGTGAAAAGTCTGAGGGTGCAAAGTCTGTGGGTGAAAAGAGTGCGGGTGAAGAGTTTGTGGGCAAAAAATGTATTGGTGAAAGTCTGTAGGTGAAAAGTATATGGTTGAACAGTCTGTGGGTGAAAAGTATATGGGTGAGAAGTATGTGGGTGAAAGTCTGTGGGCGAAAAGTCTGTGGGTGAAAAGTGTATTGGTCAAGAATCTCTGGATGAAAAGTCTGTGGGTGAAAAGCCTGTGGAAGAAGAGTCTCTGGGTGAAGAGTCTCTGGGTGAAAGGTACATATGTGAAAAGTCTGTGGCTAAAAAGTCTGTGGGTGAAAAGTCTGCGGGTGATAAGCCTGCGGCTGAAAAGTGTATGGGTGAGAAGTATGTGGGTGAAAGGCGGTGGGTGAAAAGTCTGTGGGTGAAATGGGGGAAAAGTTTGTGGGTGAGAAGTATATGGTTGAACTGTCTGTGGGTGAACAGTATATGGGTGAGAAGTAGATGGGTGAAAGACTGTGGGCGAAAAGTCTGTGGGTGAAAAGCATACGGGGGAAAATAGGATACAGTAGATGGAATGCTGTCTTTCGTTCCCCCCTTCTCAGGTGAGTTTATTGTTCAATCGACTTGGTATCCAAAAGTACCGAGAGCTGTTGGACAGGGTTTCGCAGTTGTTTTGAGACCAGCGGGCGGTCTTAAAGTGTCATCCTTCCACAAAATCATGCCAAAAACTAGATCAAGTAACCGAATGACATTCACAAATTTCAGACAGTATGTGGAGGGCATGCGGAACTACAATAAAACTATTCTTGGGTACCCCCGGTAAGCCCGGTAGGGGGATGTCTGAGGTACCCGCCATGGTCATTGATGTGAGAGTTGTTTATAGGTTTTATATCGATACATGGTTTTAGCATCACACGTTCATGGTCCTCACCATGATTCATACGCCACAAGCATTTCCGCAAAAAGTTTGTGAAATTAGATGAAGCACCGGACATTAGTGGACTCTGGGCCCAGGTGAGACGGCTCTGTCTTTGGGCCGTGTGGGAAATGAAGGCGGTGAGCTGCCGGAACCGGCAAATGGCGTGATCGCGTCGATTGACCCGCAAGAAGAGTTGCCGGACCTCATTGAACGCAACCCACGCAACCCAGGCCGAGGAATGTTTAGCAAAGCGATTTTGAAAAACATCAACTCCTTGTGAATCCTAGTGAAACAGAAAACCCAGTCATAACCTCTGAAACCATCAACGTTCCACGTCAAAATCCTCTCAAAATTCATGAATCATAACGAGACCCATCCCCAGCTGCACACAACGAAGAACAAACTATCTCCAAACATCTCCGATCAATTTGTATGGTCGACTTGTAATCCATTTAGTAGGGGCGATTTTGCATTTTGTTTGATTCCTCATTGGAAGATCGGCGAAGTTGGGTTACATTTGCTGCGGCCGGAATCGGTTCTGTGCACTTCAGGTGAAGCTCTCAAGCCCAACATTGTGAGCACAGTTCTCTGAGAGAATCGGTTAAAAACCGATAAACTTGAAGAGAAAACCGATCGAATTTGAGAGAATTGGTCAAACCAAACTCTCATAGCCTCACTGCAGGATTCAATAGGATTCGTACAGCTTCAAGATTCTTCAAGCATTTAGCTGCCGAACAAACAGAGTTGTTGGCTACCCAGCAGCTCTGGAGTTTCCCGAGTATGTTTGAGCCTTCGCTGAAAGCGAATTTGTGACAACCGGAAAGATACATTGGACATAATCAATCGACAAATTCCAACGTATGTTAATGTTGGCTCTGAACTTTGTCACTGTCAATCATTGCCAAAGAAGTTAAAAAGGACCGGTTTTCTGCTATGAGCGCACTTGGTTATGGTAGGTCTTGGAGGTGACCTAGCTACTTTTTTCGTGCTTTGGTGTGAGGGCTAGTGCAATGAGGGGCTGAATGGGATTGGCATCAACATCTACATATTCATCATGTAGACTTGATAGGCTGCAGTCCATCATCCTGGATGATCCTGCATGGTCTTGCATTGCTGCATTGGTTTCAGGCCCTCTACTGAACCACTTTGCTCAGCAACAACAGCATATGGCAAGATATTTTCAACTCCAGGACCTCGTTTCTGCAAATCAGTTTTTTCCCTTTATTCGAAATCTCGAGTTGCTCCTACCATCGCCAGTGTTCAGGGACGTACTGGGCACGTGCGTGAGGAAAGGTTTTGCGTGTTTCCCCTCTCCACCCAACCAAACACAAATGCATTTTGCGGGAAGATGTGCCTTGAAACATTTCAAAACACCATGTCATGATAATGTCATCCAGAGAGGGTGATGGAGATAGAGATATGTCATGTACAAGTGATTGCTACTACTTGCAATTGACAGCCACAGATGGATGATCAATTGCTGCGCCCACTTGTTTCGATGCTATTTTACAATCAGAATGGCTCCGGAAAGGCTGTGCAGCGTAATCAAAGAGATGCTTCAACCCCCAAGTGGGCACCACCACTCAGAACCTTGGATTTTCGCAATTTCTAATGTCAATCAGAGAAGTGTCTAGGTTCGAAGTTCGAGTGCCTGCAATGACTGGGCGCCAAGAGTAGCATCCTAATCACGAAACTGTGCCGCCTTACTTCGATTTCCTTGCCACGCATGTTGGCAGGACTGGAGATTTCTGAGCAACAGAGCAATGCGGATGGCCCAGGACACCACTGTCTTGCCACGGGCCCAAGCATAGGAAGCCAGGCCCCCACATCCTTTGACAGTTAATGATGTTAATGTAAGTTAATGATATCAACTGATACACTGATACCGACATATTACCACCAAACTAGAACAATTTTCAATAATTTTGGTAGATATCACTAGTTACTTAAATTCCCCGGCAACACTAAAACACAGTTCCATCACACTATTCACTATAGATAATACAAGTACCAATGTTACTAGTGCAAACCAAAAGATGCTTCACAATATGGATGTGTCGATGCAGGTATTGGTTTTATATTGTTGGCTTAGCAACTCACAATTTGTGAGCTTGGCCTGGCGGAAATGCGTTTTGTGGTGACTTAGCGTGCTGTGATAGAGCACAAGGATGTCCAACCCGTGCTCAGTGCTCAGTGACGAATGTTACCTCTTGCGTTGCAGTTCGGCTCAGGCAAGCTTCTGCAAGTTGCTGAGGTGTGCTCTGGCTGCTGGAGACTGCATACTTTTGCATACACATTTGCATTTGCTATGCGTTTGTATCATCCATGAAGTTGTTTCTGCTTCTAGTGGACGTTTTGTTTTGACGTTTGAGAGCGGAAGGCTGGTGTGGGCAAATATGGGCCATCCTTCTTTGCAGAATGTTCATCTCAACGTTCCAGATGTTATGGCTCAATTTATTTGAAATTGAGCAAGGGGCGCAGCAACGATATGCACCCTCCCATCTTCCTGTGGGCTGCGGGCCTAGCTCTTGCGGGATCGAACACAGCATGTTTGCCGGACGCCGTTGACGAGCTGGACCGGAAGCAGCTGGTAAATTTGGTGGCGGGCGAGTCCTACTCTATCGGACTCTGGCGCAATGGCGACTATCCCGCGGCCCGCCTCGCCGCCAGAGTGGTGCAGATCATCATACAGGAGACGTATATAGACATATTATATATATAATATATATATATACATATATACATATAGATTGTCAGTGTACCAAAAAAATAAAGGACCGGATAACCCCACATGTCAACTTCTTCCAATAATCCCGTCACCCTAATATTAAACGTCCCCCCTTGTTTTTGTTTTGGACCCAACCCTACCAGGGCATAGCATGAGTACTGAGCACAGTTTATATACGCTGTCAAGGCTCAAGAGATAGATATGGAGGTATAGTTTGTAGCTTAGGCGCTGCACTGACTGTCTATTGGCCGACAGAGGAAAACTAGTGCTTGCAGCCTGGGAAGACGCTATAGCTCCTATCAGGACTCTATTGCCCCTCTTCAAGTGGTAGCGGAGCTGTGATTCTTCATTGAAGGTGAGCTCCAGGTAGAGTCCAATATAATATGGCAAGCCATGGCTATGGTGATGACTTCGACATTGTCGATGCAGATGGATGGAATCAATATGATTCTTACGCAATGAGAAGCGGACCCTAACAACCCTTAATTCACATGATTCGCCAAATGACCACGGAGGTAGCCCCTGCTTATGATGGAAGGACCAGTCACAATGTTGCTGTCACTTGGGACAGCTTACATCATCGTGCTCCACCAGAAGGAAGGACTTCAACAAAGCCGGCAAGCAAAGAAGCATCTCAACTTCCTGAAGAGCTTCCTGATTACAATGACGATGAGCCGGACTGCAGCTCATAAGCTCAGCTTCCTTGCAACCCGTAAACACGGGGCTTGCCTTTCTAGGATCTTCCTGGGCAATTTTGCTTGGAATTTTTCATTCTGCACTGTTGCCTCAATCTGATTAATTTTGGGTCCTTGATCACATGCTTTGACTTCAGTGAACATTGTTTTTTTACACGGGCTTGCTTCCATTTGATGCTGTGCTGATCTTGCTTACCTTTACATACAGCTGAGACCTGTCACCTTTCATTTTGTGTGTGATTTGATCCTGACACCTTTCATGTCCCCTTGAAAGCTTTCAGCTTCCTTTCCACTGCAGTTTGAGCATTGAGTATTGACGATTGGTCGGAGTTTGCATCTCTCGTTCTCTCTTGGCGTCATGGCCAGCTCTGACCGCTCTCGATCTCCGACTACAACTTCAGCTCGAAATCGACCAGCCTTTCCAGCACCTCGACAAGATCTTCCAGGTTTTCCGAAACGGTGTGGGCCCATGGGCTCAGCTGTCAGAACCTTACACAATATGATGCCACGCCCTCAGATCCCGAATCGTTGGCCATTGCTTCCGTCTGGACCTTATGGGGTCTTATGGGGTATCGAGTCAATTTGGAAATCTTCTTCCACCACCTCCATCGATGATCCAGTCGGACCAGATCGCCACATCCATTTCCACCCTCTCCACCAGCATCACTGCCTAATGCATCCATTCCCTGCTCACCCACTCAGCCTTGCTCGGCTACTCCTGCCTCGCCTCCACCGATGGTCCGTCCATCTCTTCCACGATCCAATGCCCATACTTCGACACCTTCAACGACTACACCGGGCTCCAACGAAGGTCCAAGGGTCCAAGAGTCTATGGCTTCGATTTGAATGAGAAATGGCAAGAAGATCGGGAACATTACGACAACCAAAAGATCAACGGCCTCACTCTTCCCCGTATGATCAGAACATCTGCGATGTGATCCTTTTGCTCTACCTGTGGCTGCTCTACTATATCAGCAAGCCAACAACTTCTGGCTTCGGAAGCCAGCTCATGGTCGTGAATTGTATCTCATTCCGACTGGTGACATTGCCTTGGTGGTGTCTGCAACGGAATTCCTTTGACAGAATGTCCCAGATTCAAGCTCGACAGGATGGGAAAGACAGCGAACACCAAATATGCCGCTCAGATGATTGCGGAACACATCCAGGGCTGGATCCCCATGAAGGCCACTGATCCAGACTCCCAGCAACTGGCAGAGCTTCGACAACGTTTTGGCGATGATGGTGCTCCTGATGCATCCACTCTCACGCGACCTGGTCAAGTTCCAGCCAAGCTACACCCATCCAACGGGCACTTATGGGCTCCTCAGCTCCGACGTCTCCACCTGGCTTCCCATCCTTCTCCAAGCCAATACCTGGCTAGTGGACAACCTTCCGACAGGCCTGAGTGATCGCACATACAATTCCTGGCTCAAAGCTCTGGCGATTCCGGATGCTCAGAAGGCCGTGCTACAGACCAATATCACGAAGGCCGAGGAATGGTGGGCCAACCGAACTTCCTCTGCGGTGGACACGGTCCAGAAGGTCGCCCTCAGCAAGCTCCAAAGAAGAAGTTGACGTCATTCTCATCAAGATCCTGACGACGGCTATCACCATGACCTGTTGACTAGCCCCTGCACTCCGACGAAAGCTCAAGCATAAAGCCTTTCAGTCACACCTCCACCGTTTGCATTCGATGATCTTGGTGCTCTTCGTTGTCGCTCCGTTCGCTATATGTCTTCCTGTCTATCCCTTTTTCATGCTCTTCGAGTCGCTCAAGTACGGATGATGATTATTCATGGTCTTCGATCCAATGCAAAACCTGAAGGCAATTTGGGAAGGCTGTGCCAGCTTGTCACACCTGTGGGGCTCTTCATTGAAGCCTCATGCTCTTTTCATGAAGGACTTCCTTCAGCCCAATGCGGTTACATTCGTTTCACGCACATTGTCAACACGCAGCCAAAGTTCTATGTGGGATCAGCTACGCACGGTACCATGGATCGCGAGCACGGTCGCACCAGCTGAACTTGCACTACGTTTTTGGCGTGATCACCAAAATCTCTTGATTTGGGCTCCAATCCCTCTTTTTGTTCGTTTAGCAGATTACAGATGCCTCGAGCCGGCGTTGATCCAGGAATGGCTAACCTCGACTGAATTACCCTTTCACTTGCCAATTTTCCAACCGTTTCCAATCCAGATTGTAACTATGGCAAATTATCCATGCGTTGGGTTCCTAGAACAAGCCGTTATAGCAGAAGGGTTTCTTTCAAACAAGGTATTTCCTACCAAGAAGGAATATACGGCTGTGATGATCCGGGCCCTCCATCAATGGACAAAACAATATGGACTTCCTTCCATCCCAAACAAGACATTTTGGCCCTCACCGCAGAAACGTGGACGCAACATTGCCAGTCCCTCTCGACCCACATTACCAAATCCACAATTTCTGCTCTTGGCACATCTTTCGAAGGTGCGGTGTTTCATTGTGAAGACAAACAAGCATCGTCTTTACGATTTTCTGCCCGTGCCTCTACTACAAGTCCCTGGGGAACACCTCCTTGACAACATGGTCTTTGAATCCTTGAACACGCCACCCACTGCCCTGGTGAATCAAATGGTTTCATCGCTGGAACGCACCTATGGGAAAAGCTACCCATGGGCTCTTGGGACTGGTCGTCAACTGTCCTCCGGCTACATCCTGGCCAAGAAGAAGAAACAGCACAGCTGGACGTCCAATCAGTTCGTTCGTTGACTCTCCGTTCAGGCCCATGCTGAACGTCCTTGCCAGAATGATTTTTCAGTTGATTCCGGTAGGACGCCCCAATCATGTCGCAGTGGGAGATGTCTGCACATTGCTCAAACTGCTCAAAGAAGCACCGGAACATGATGACCTCCGGATTTTCAAACAGGATTTGGCAGGCTTCTTCATCAGCATCGAACAAGATAGATTCTTGGGCTCGTGGTATATGCTGCTTGATTCCTTCGACCCCACATGAACGTGAACGACAACGAAGTTTTTTCCGTTTGTCCAGGGAAGACTAACAATCCAGGTGGTCTTGTGAAAGGTCGAACTTTCCGGCGGCTCAACGTTACTAGGAAGATTGCAGTACATTATGTTCCAGACCTCATCCAAAATGCCTTGAGCATGCAATCCTTTGCTCTTGGTCCTCGAAGTTTTCGGTAAAGATGTGGTAACCCTATGGGCAGCCCTTTGTCACCAGCACTTTGTCTCATGGTGGTATCCATCAGCGAACAAATCTGGTCCATCAACTTTCAAGAGGCTTTGGCAAACAATAACCTTTTTGTTCCCGAGAGCGCCTGCGAAGGGTTCTTCGTAAAAAAAGCAGCCGTTGTAATACATCTTCACACCCTCACATTTGCTGATCTACATCTTCACACCCTCACATCTGCTGATCTACATCTTCACACCCTCACATCTGCTGATCTACATCTTCACACCTTCAAATCTGCTGATCTACATCTTCACACCCTCACATCTGCTGATCTACATCTTCACACCCTCACATCTGCTGATCTACATCTTCACACCCTCACATCTGCTGATCTACATCTTCACACCCTCACATCTGCTGATCTACATCTTCACACCCTCACACCTGCTGATCTACATCTTCACACCCTCACATCTGCTGATCTACATCTTCACACCCTCACACCTGCTGATCTACATCTTCACACCCTCACATCTGCATCTAGATCTTCACACCCTCACATCTGCTGATCTACATCTTCACACCCTCACACCTGCAGATCTACATCTTCACACCCTCACATCTGCAGATCTACATCTTCACACCTTCCCATCTTCTCTCGCTCTTCTTTCTATCTCTCTCTTAAGGCGGGGGTGCCGCCGGAGCGCCACGAAACGCAACCCTTTCGAACGAAATGGACGTTGGACGTCAAAAACTGAGGTAAAATTACGATTTAACTTGGTCCATCGCAACCCTTTCGCACGAAATGGACGTTGGACGTCAAAAACTGAGGTAAAATTGCGATTTTGAAGTATCCATCGCAACCCTTTCGCACGAAATGGACGTTGGACGTCAAAAACTGAGGTAAAATTACGATTTTAGTTAGTCCATCGCAACCTTTTCGCACGAAATGGACGTTGGACGTCAAAAACTGAGGTAAAATTGCGATTTTGAGGTGTCACGGGCAACCTTTACACGCGAAATGGAGGTTCGACGTCAAAAACTGAGGTAAAATTACGATTTTAGTTAGTCCATCGCAACCCTTTCGCACGAAATGGACGTTGGACGTCAAAAACTGAAGTAAAATTGCGATTTCACGGGTCCGGTCTCTGTGTGTGAAAGTGTTTGTGTGTAAAAGCTTCTGTGTGTGAAAGTGTTTGTGTGTAAAAGCTTCTGCGTGTAAAAGTTTCTGTGTGTAAAAGCTTCTGTGTGTAAAAGCTTCTGTGTGTAAAAGAGTCTGTGTGTAAAAGGGTCTGTATGTAGAAGCGTCTGTGTGTAAAAGCGTCTGTGTGTAAAGGAGTCTGTGTGTAAAAGCCTCTGTGTGTAAAAGCTTCTGTGTGTAAAGGCTTCTGTGTGTAAAAGCTTCTGTGTGTAAAAGCGTCTGTGTGTAAAAGGGTCTGTGTGTAAAAGGGTCTGTATGTAAAAGCGTCTGTATTTAAAAGCATCTGTGTGTAAAGGAGTCTGTGTGTAAAAGCCTCTGTGTGTAAAAGCTTCTGTGTGTAAATGGTCTGTGTGTAAAGGAGTCTGTGTGTAAAAGCGTCTGTGTGTAAAGGAGTCTGCGTGTAAAATGGTCTGTGTGCAAAAGTGCCTGTGTGCAAAAGCGTCTGTGTGTAAAAGCTTCTGTGTGTAAAAGCTTCTGTGTGTAAAAGTGTCTGTGTGCAAAATGGTCTGTGTGGAAAAGTGTCTGTGTGTAAAAGGGTCTGTGTGTAAAAGGGTCTGTATGTAAAAGCGTCTGTATTTAAAAGTATCTGTGTGTAAAAGCTTCTGTGTTTAAAAGCTTCTGTGTGTAAAAGTGTCTGTGTGTAAAATGGTCTGTGTGTAAAAGTGTCTGTGTGTAAATGCGTCTGTGTGTAAAAGCGTCTGTGTGTAAAAGCGTCTGTGTGTAAAGGAGTCTGTGTGTAAAAGCGTCTGTGTGTAAAAGCGTCTGTGTGCAAAAGCGTCTGTGTGTAAAAGCTTCTGTGTGTAAAAGCTTCTGTGTTTAAAAGCTTCTGTGTGTAAAAGTGTCTGTGTGTAAAATGGTCTGTGTGTAAAAGTGTCTGTGTGTATAAGCGTCTGTGTGTAAAGGAGTCTGTGTGTAAAAGCGTCTGTGTGTAAAGGAGTCTGTGTGTAAAAGCCTCTGTGTGTAAAAGCTTCTGTGTGTAAAAGCTTCTGTGTTTAAAAGCTTCTGTGTGTAAAAGTGTCTGTGTGTAAAATGGTCTGTGTGGAAAAGTGTCTGTGTGTAAAAGCGTCTGTGTGTAAAGGAGTCTGTGTAAAAGTGTCTGTGTGTAAAAGCGTCTGTGTGTAAAGGAGTCTGTGTGTAAAAGCTTTGTGTGGAAAAGCTTCTGTGTTTAAAAGCTTCTGTGTGTAAAAGTGTCTGTGTGTAAAATGGTCTGTGTGTAAAGGTGTCTGTGTGTAAAGCTTCTGTGTGTAAAAGCGTCTCTGTATAAAAGCGTCGCGTTTCTTCACATCCGAGGAATGATGGTTCCGAGCTTTTTCGCCAATGTGTGTCGGAATTACCATAGTAAAATGAGATAACACATGTCATTCGCAGCATCATGGTACCGAGCCTCCTGTGCACTTTTGTTGCTCACATTATATTTTTCCATGTTTTCTTTCTATCTCCCTTTCCTTCTCTCTCTCTCTCTCTCTATCTCTCTCTCTCTCTCCCTCTTTCTCTCTCTCCGTCTCCCTCTCTCTCTCTCTATCTATGTCTCTCTGTGGTTGCAAGACACGTGTCATCTGATGCCCTTTAGCAAATATCCTCTTCTTAATCAATCTTACTTTTCACACCTTATCCCTCCATAGCTCATTTAAAATTCACCAACCATTCACCGACTATCTTTTACGACTACCATCCTCAGAGCTGCTTAAAAAAACATCTTTTTCGCTCTCGGGCCAACCGTCGTCTAGTTCGGCACCTTCGCTATGTGGACAACAGATTAATCTTGGGACATCACCTCATCCAAGCTTTACCCCCGTATGAAATCTTGCTCGATGAAGGTTTCTATGGAAAACCCATCATCTTGTAGACTGAGCCAGACCCAGGATTTCTGGGCTTCATAATCGAGACCAACTCAAAAGTCCTACAAACGTCTCCCAGATTCTGTCACCATTTTCAGCATCTCCGCCTGGGGTTCTTCTTAGTGGCTTTCGATCGTGCTGTCACATTGTGGTGAAAGGTGCTTTTCCATTGTAAAGAGTTCATCAAGGACTTCAACAATTAATTCACATTTATCATTTGGCAGGCTTCAGCTTCGAAGAACTCAATGGCATTTCTTCGCAAGTTTGTCTTCGATGCACTAAATTCTTGGGTTGCTGCCATGTGTTCTTGTCTTTCCCTCATGGCTCTTTGTCTTTGATTCCTCCTTTCTCTTCCAGCTCTTTGGCTCAAATTGGCTTCCTGCCTTTTCTTCTCGGCTTGTTTCTTCTGTCTGTGATGGAATCACATCAACGCCAGATTCATTTCCACTTGGCCAGAGCTATCATGCATTTGAGCTACATTGCGGGTTTTCTTCCTTTGGTTGAACCTGATTTGGATTGGGACTCATCACCTATGTTATCGGGACCTTCAATGCCTTTGGCTCCTTCGAACTTTTCAACTGGCTCTCGCAATCTACACACTTTTGTCCCTATGCTTCGATCAAACCACCATGCCACACTGTTGTCTCATGGGGGGCTTCCGTCACATATGACGATCAATCCAGAACCGAATCTTCACCCAATGCGCTCTTCAATTTCCATGGCGACCGTTGCGGAAGAAGTTTATCCAGCTGCCCGCCCCATATCGTCCTCTTCCACAGAACCTCCGGCCACCCGATCAACGTCAGCCTCAACTCCAACAGCTCCGCCTGTCCGTTCCCGTTCATCAGCCACACCACCAACACATCACTCTGGGAACCCCAGTCATCCCAAACGTCGGTGCCTACAACCACCTGGAACCTACCGACGATGGCAACCCACCCCTTGTGGAAGTCCGCCGACTCTATCCCAGCCCCCACCGACTAATTTCATGCTGTCTTGCAAAAATTCGTTTGCTTCTTCACTCCTTTTCAGCTTGGTTTTTTGTGCTGCCTTCAGCTTTAACTCTATCTAAACAAACCCATTCTTAGCGATGTATCGTTCTCGTTCCCGTGATTTTTCTTACCGTGAATCCCGTGATTTGCACTATGGCATCCCGGCGGTGGCTCGCTCGACTCCAATGTCAATGATCTTCGATTCATGGCCCAGGAATCCCACACTCGGTCGGATCTCCTTCCGAGCTTGACTGCCACTGAACACGAAGGACTATTTTTTTCCCAATTGGTGGCACCTTCGCAATTGCCATGTACCTTGTTTACCAACATCCTCCATACGTCTTGGACCACATCTCCGCGACCTGGGATATTCAACTCGATTCTGATGATCTTTGTCTTCGATATCCTGGCTTGACTGACTGGAGATGTTTTTGAACTTGATCCTCTCTTCTCTCTCTTCTCTCTCTTCTCTCTCTTCTCTCTCTTCTCTCTCTTCTCTCTCTTCTCTCTCTTCTCTCTCTTCTCTCTCTTCTCTCTCTTTCTCGTTTCGTTAATTGGAGCTTTGGCGTCCTACCGACCAGAATGGTGCCTGGTGCCGACGCCAAGATGATGGTTTCAATATGTTTCAATTCATTCCTCTTCACCGACTTCATCCACCCCTATATCATGCGTCTTACGACCAGAAAGATCCCAGCATTGCTCTCCCATGAAATTTAGGATATGGTGACATTGCATTGTCAAAATGGGATTCATTGCTGCTTAGCCGGGTTTTCCCTTCGGTTTTTCCGTTTTCTCTGTGCTTGGTCCTCTTCATTGGATGTTGCGCCTCTTCACTCTGTTGTATAGTTGTGACTGCTTTATTCATGTTCAGCGTTTTTCACCATTTCAAAACGCGTGGCTCAGTGGCATGTCCGGCACCAAACGCGATTGTACCATGGCGAATCTCAGCTGGCCTTGGGCAAGCTCCAACCAGGAGTGTCAGCCAAGATTTACGGCATAGCCAACTTCTTCGAACTTGGAGTTAGGGGTCGCATTGGCTGTGGTGGTTTGGCGCCAACCAAACGTACTTCGGAGATTACCGAAGAGTTGCTCCAATGCTTCGACCTTCTTCGGACGATTGTGGCTACCAGACCGTGCAAGCAACCCGAGGTAGTGCCTCACGCGGGTCCGCGCTTCCTTGCGGATGTGCCGCCCCGGAGATACCAGGAGAGGGCACAGGGGGCTTCTTGATTGTTTGGCACGATGAATTCACGCAGAGACGGGAAGCCTTTGTCTCCCTGATCCCCCCAAGGTATACCAACTTTGGGAACCAGGAGATCGGAAGATTGCCCCAACTTGAGTTACTACAAGTTTTGTATGCTCTGTTTTCCAGACCGTCACAGTTCAGAGGACGTGGTGGGTTGTGCTGAGTGGCATAAGAAACATTCTTCTTCAACATGTCTCGCATTCTTTCCCTTCGAGGTATGGTCTCTACCACTTCCTGCGTCCTACGGGTTGTGGAGTTCTTCTGATCGAGTGCTTCGGGAGAAGTGCATTGGGAGAGATTCTGCTTGAATGACATCATGAGTACACAGGCTGTCTGAGCAGGAGCGAGTGTTGCTATGCAAGAGAGAACTTGCATGGTATACCAAAGCACTGTCCAGCTAGAGGCAGGTTGAGACCAGGATGTAAAGCCGAATAAGGAAAAGAAGTGCGAGCCAGAAGTGCTGGGAGCGGTTGAGTATACGACATATCAGTACTTCACATCTCACTTCTCATGTGTATTTGATTGTATTTGCATGCGTATGTAAATGCATGTAATTTATATATTTATATATATATATATGTATATATATATATACACATTTTTTCGTGTTTGAGTGAAACCATGTGAAACAGTGTGACAGAATGCGAAAGAATAGCAAACAATGAAATGCAATGGGGAAGCCAGCAGTAGGGGAAAGAGACCTTAATCAGAGCCATTCACAATGTATATGGTGCTTGACTCAAGCTCGTGAAATGGTAATGGCCAACAGGAGAGGATTGGCTACAAAGTGGACTTGAAAGGTCCAGGGGCATTGACGATTGACGGTTTCTTTGCTTTGATGGGTTGCTCCCAGCCCTTGAACGGCACAGACCGCGGCTGCGGACCGAGTGTGACCCGTGTCCACATCAATGTGGAGGTGTGGACGGAAGGGTATGCTGAAGCTTGGGCTCAGGTCCAAGCTGACTACCCCAACAAGGCACCGAAGAATCTTGGGAACATGGGATACTCGGGAGCGTCCGCAGCGTACGTGCCCCTGGCAGTGCAGGAGAAGGCTTACGATGTTGAGAGCATCAATCTGGACTTCTACCGAGACTACAACGGGTCCCGGCAAAATCCAGGGGCATACTTTGCCCACCCCCTGGATTTGGATCTCTCGAAACTGCTGCCGTGCGCAGACACTGCATTGATGTCAAACGAACTCATGAGCGGCTATCTCAACCTCACAGGAGATTCAGCCGGGGTTGTGGTTGACAACGTGGGGCTGGTCACTGGCAAATGCTTTGATGGCTTTTTTTGGTATGGCCCCGCCTGCAGGGACAATCCTTCTACTTGCTTGACATGGTTCACTGGTGGCACTGGGTGGGGGATGGGTGAAATTCTGCTGAAGGCAGCGGTCTACAATATTCCCCTGGCAACAGCGGTTGCCAGCAGTTGGGGGAACTATGTCAACCTGCCGGCGGAGTCCAACGTCATGCTCTACTGGTGGGTTCCTGATTCAACATTCCTCAGGCCATGCCTTGTAAACATGCACCGTACGAGGGCCAACGCAGTGTTGTGCAGATATTGTAAGGTTATAGCATAGAGTCTTCAGCAGGTGAAACTCCGGTTTTTGTTTTTGCTTCAATTGGTTTTGCATCAGTACTGGAAGACACTTTAGATGCAAGAAAGTCATGCAAGTGACGTGAATTGATCCTTCCCCTTTCCCAGCATCCATTCGTGAGTCTATTGGCCTGCTTGCATCACGGTCAGTCACTCCATTCCCCCTTTTCAGGTTTATGCGCCCCACATTATGCCATCGCATTCTTCCTTGCAAAATCTTGTGTCACGCCTTGAATTTGTCTCTAAGTTAGTTCATTACATATATTAAAATATACCAGTAGTACCGCACAAGGCGGTGACAGAAGTTTCTAAAATGGGAAACCTATAGGAGCGGTTGGTTGTTGTGAATCACGGATGGCAGAGCGAAGCCGCTGATGGACCGAAAGGTGCTTGAGGTCTCCTCTCTTTCTCTCTGTTTCTCTGACTATCTACCTATACCTACCTACCTATCTGTCTATGTATCTATCTATCTATCTACCTATCTATCTATCTATCTACCTATCTATCTATCTATCTATCGGTCGATCGTTCTAACGATCTATCTATCTATCGATCCATCGATCTATCTAAGTATCGATCGATCTATCTATCTATCGATCGATCGATCTATCTATCGATCGATCTATCTATTTATCGATCTATCGATCTATATATCTATCTATCTATCTATCTATCTATCTATCTATCTCTCTCTCTCTCTCTCATCTGTCTATCTGTCTACCTGTCTAACTGTCTATCTATTTATCTATCTATCTAATCTAATCTTAAATCTAATCTAATCTTCAATCTGATCTAATCTCATCCTATCTATCTATCTATCTATCTATCTATCCTATCTATCCTATCTATCCTATCTATCCTATCTATCCTATCTATCCTATCTATCCTATCTATCCTATCTATCTATCTATCTATCTATCTATCTATCAAGCTAAGCTACCTATCTATCTATCTATCTGTCTATCTGTCTATCTATCGATCGATCTATCGATCGACCTATCTATCTGTCTATCTACCTACCTGTCTGTCTATCTATCTACCGATCTATCTATCTATCGATCTATCTATCTATCTATCTATCTCTCTCCCTCTCTCTCTCTCTCATCTGTCTATCTGTCTATCTATCTACCTGTCTATCTATCTATCTATCTATCTATCGAATCTATCTATCTATCTATCTATCTATCTATCGAATCTATCTATCTATCTATCTATCTATCTATCTATCTATCTATCTATCTATCTATCTATCCATCTTTTCATTTATCTATCTATCTATCTATCTATCTAACTATCTATCTATCTATCTATTTATCTATCTATCTATCTATCTATCAAGCTACCTATCTATCTATCTATCTACCTATCTACCTATCTATCTATCTATCTATCTATCTATCTATCTATCTATCTATCTATCTATCTATCTATCTATCTATCTATCTATCTATCCATCCTTCTATCTATCTATCTCTCTATCTATCAAGCTACCTATCTATCTATCTATCTATCTATCGATCGATCTATCTATCTATCTATCTATCTATCGATCTATCGATCTATCTATCGATCTATCGATCTATCGATCTATCGATCCATCGATCCATCGATCGATCGATCTATCGATCTATCTATCTATCTATCCATCCATCTACCTATCTATCTGTCTACCTTTCTATCTATCTATCTGTCTGTCTATCTATCTATCTATCTGTCTATCTGTCTATCTATCGATCTATCTATCTATCTCTCTCTCTCTCTGTCTGTCTGTCTGTCTATCTATCTGCAAGCTTGAAAACGAGGCTATTCTGCGAGACTTCCTCAATTTTTGCACTTGACAACATCAAAAACGGAGCAATTCTGCGAGACTTCCTCATTTTTTTAAGTTGACAATATCAAAAACGAAGCAATTCGGCGAGACTTCTTTCAAAAATGGAAAGTTGAGTGCAGAGCCGACGGCCTCGTACCAATGCGTTTTGCGATTTTTCGACTCCACCTGTCTAAACTACTGCGCCTGCCACGAAAAAGTGATACCGGGTCATACGAAGTGCTGCACCTGTCACGCAAAATATCGCAAAATCATCTCAGCAAACCTGAAGATCTGATGCTCCAAAATGCAACCCTCTCAGGAAATCAGCGCCCGGACCTCCAAACATGTCTCTTGTACTGCGCCTGCGACGGAAAATGCATCTTTGCAGATTCTTTTCGAATGTTCCACGCCTGCCATCGTTTTTGGAAATGCTGCAAAACCGTCACGTTTTGCTCACTTTTAACAAGGTCCACAATCCCTTGCGCTTGCCACGCGAAAGCACATCTGAACGTCCAAAAGTGGTCCCAACCCCTGGACGTTTTAACATTTTGGATTCGAAATGTGCTTCGCGCCACAACGACGTAAAGTGGTCCGAACATGGTGTGTTTTGTACGTTTTGACTTCGAAATGCGCTTCGCGCCACAACGGCGTACACTTTTTCGACATCGCAACTTCCAAAGTGGTCCGAACCTGGTGTGTTTTGTACATCTTGACTTCGAAATGTGCTTCGCACCACAACGGCGTGCACTTTTTCGACATCTCAACTTCTAAAAGTGGTCCGAACCTGGTGCGTTTTGTACATTTTGACTTCGAAATGTGCTTCGCGCCACAACGGCGCGCACTTTTTCGACATGGCAACTTCCAAAGTGGTCCGAACCTGGTCTGATTTGTACATTTTGACTTCGAAGCGTGCTTCGTGCCACAACGGCGTGCACTTTTTCGACATGGCAACTTCCAAAAGTGGTCCGAACTGGTGTGCTTTGTACATGTTGATTTCGAAATGTGCTTCGCGCCACAACGGCGTGCAATTTTTCATCTCTCATCTGGCCAGCTGGCTCCGCACCCGCCGCTTTAGCGAGCCTACTTTTCGACCCTGAGGCCCCGAGGAGTTACAAACCATTGGAAAAACACAGTGTTTCGCGACTTTGCTACCTTTTCGCGCACCTGGATCTTCTTTCTTCTGAGACTTTCTCTTTTGTGATCTTCTTTCTTCTTCTCTTCTCTTCTCTTCCCTTCCCTTCCCTTCCCTTCCCTTCTCTTCTCTTCTCTTCTCTTCTCTTCTCCTCTCTTCTCTGAGTCTTCCCATCTCTTCTTTTCATCTGTCCATATTGTCGGAAGTTTGACTTCTAAACTTCCTTCGATCATGGTGACCACATGACCTTTCAGTACCGTGCGGATTTCTGAAGATGGTCCACCCTGAAAGGTTGCAACCAAGAAGGATCACTTTTCCAGAACACGACCTAGATGCATGGGCACAAGGGGACAGACGGTCTGCTGCGAAAGACCTTTCCGTGGATAAACATGTCAGTCGCGATTTGAGCGATTTGGCTCCAGAGGTGGAGGAGTTCATGAACAGAGCCTTGTCGAGGAACTCATTTGGCTTGGGTGGTTTGGTGTGTAAATATATATATATAGTATACATATATGCATACATACATACATCTATCTGCCTGCCTGCCTATCTATCTATCTATCTATCGATCTATCGATCTATCGATCTATCGATCGATCTATCTATCTATCTATCTATGTAATGTAATGTAATGTAATGAAATGTAGTGTAATGTAATGTAATGTAATGAAATGTAGTGTAATGTAATGTAATGTAAAGTAATGTAATGTAATGTATGTAATGTATGTAATGTATGTAATGTATGTAATGTATGTAATGTATGTAATGTATGTAATGTATGTAATGTATGTAATGTATGTATGTAAGTATGTAATGTATGTAATGTATGTAATGTATGTAATGTATGTAATGTATGTAATGTATGTAATGTATGTAATGTATGTAATGCATGTAATGTATGTAATGTATGTAATGTATGTAATGTATGTAATGTATGTATGTATGTATGTATTTATGTATGTATGTATGTATACATGTAAGTATGTATGTATGTATGTATGCATGTAGTGTATGTAATGTATGTAATGTATGTAATGTATGTAATGTATGTAATGTATGTAATGTATGTATGTATGTATGTTTGTCTGTCTGTCTGTCTGTCTGTTTGTCTGTCTGTCTGTCTGTAGTGTAT